TGATATTTGTATTCTACATGGATAAAATCTGTTCCCTAAATTTATCCTTCACATTTAATTATTGACATTCTTGCATTTTAAAAAATTCAGTGCTGGTGACACATCAAATTAAGACATCTTCTTTTGTATGTATATTGTATTTCTGGCCAAAACATCACCTCTCATTCTTGTAATTACACTTTTCAATTCCTATGTCTCAGATGATTTTTTTTAAACATCTGCTGTCACATCTATTTCGGAGTTGCAGCTTTTTTTATCCCTCATTACCTAGTTTTCTTTCATAGTGACTGCTGTCTTATTTTCATTTCTGGCTCCACAGTCATGAGTTACTTTTATATTACAGACCAGAGACCAACAAGCAATACTGAACCACTTGAATGGCTTCTAGCTGCTTACGAAGAAATTGTTTATGTGCATACTAGGCGGCATTTACATACAAATTCATGCTTTTCCCCATAATAGGCAGAAGTACCACTCTTCCCTCCAGTGTGGAAACTGTGCTTTAGCACTCCCCAGTCTGCTTGCAGCCCTGAAGTTACACAGGTACACATGTAGATGGAAACATAGTGGCAGAGCTTATGCTGACCATATTGGCAGCCACCTTTCTGCAAATGTAAGCCATTACATTTCATTACAAAATGACACCTATAATTGTATGACTTTTTATTAATGCTTCCTGTATTTCACTTGCTGTAGATTTATTATCCTGATCTAAATTCTGCAATTAGGTCTTCTAGGACAGTTTTCAAAAGCAAATATTCAGACTATGTCTACAAAATATACGCTTACATCTGCAAAGAGATACTTTGGTAGAAAGACACGAGCAAACATTCGCTGGCTCACACATTTGGTCTGTGTAAACACTTGCCTGTAGAAATGAAAGCATTACACTTGAAACAGGGTTGAACAAAGATAGAAGAAGTAAAACTGTGAATAATTTATTTTTCAGCAGGGTAATTAGGAAGTTTAGATTCATATCAAACCAGATTTACAAGCTCTTTTTCATCCCTGACAAAACTAGAAACTCTAGACATGTAGTACCACATATTTACAAAACAAAAAAAAATGTTTTGTTGTTGCAATAGAAGAGGTGAACACATAATTTCACAGTAGGTGGCATTGTTCTCTCCCTTACTCAGTAGTCCTATTGCTAGACTAAGTCACCCAGGACACAAACTTTCTATCCCCTTCTGGCTTTTCCTGGGGGATCCAGCCCCACAGGACAGCACAAATCTCTGAGCAGAGACATTCTTGTGCCACTCTTAGAATATTTCTGTATTGGATAAATAGCTGTTCATTGGTGCCAGAGCAGAAGTTACAGTGTTCACCTTCAAGTATTAGCTGCCAGACTTCAAAGGCATAACCACATTCTGTGGCTTTTTTTGTTTAACATTAAATATTACAGCCTCAGAAAGAGAAATACAAAAACTTCTAACCCCTTCACGAAGGGAGCATGAAAAGGGTGTGAACTAGCATCACTGAACAATAGCTGATTATTTGAGAAAGCAGAGATGGGCTTTATTGATTTATTTTTACCAACAAAATTTCAGATTATTTACTTCTGTCATGTAACAACTTGGGAACAGGCAACTTTTTTTTTTTTTTTTGGTGGAAAATTATCTATCTGTCAGGGGGCAAAAAAATTGCAAATGATCATCCAGCTTTGGGGGAACTGCAGTTTCAACCAGATATGTGAAAAAGTGACAGTTCATTCTAACTTATATTGCAAAGTTATTTAGCAGTATGTTCTTTTTATTCCTCATCATAACCACTTATAGCCTTTATGGAATCGCCACAGCACATAGTTCTGCAATCTTACCTACTTCTGTTCATATTGCTTTTGTTTGCATGGTAGCACTGACTATAGGCAAATACAACTCAGACTGTACTTTCTGTAAAGTCATGCCATTTGATAGTAAATGAGATCTGTTCACGTTCATGGCAGTAAAAAAAAAATAAAACAAACTCCTGAATTCTGTAAAACTGGACATTAGGTCTAGAAGATTGGAACATTTCAGAGGAACAATTGTGGTATTTCCTTTTACGTACTGTTTTGGCAAGTTTTCTTCAGGAGTTTAAAGAGTAAATTTCTGGTAGATCAGAGTAAAAATAGTCTAGGCAGTTTTTACGAATAAACATAGCCAAACCTTTTATAATGTGTCTTTTTTTTTTTTTTTTCATTAACTCCACATTTCATGTTATAAATAAAATTGTGGCTATTTAACTTCCTTTTTCCGTTATGCAAAACATGCTTATAAAGCATAAATCTTAAAAAAGCTTGGTGAAGTTGAAACAGAAATTGCCAGAGCTGAAGTGGCTCTCCAGAGCTAGTAAAGAGCACACACAGACACTTAAAATCACTTTAAACTAGCAGTCACATAGCTTCACCTCTTGGAATGACAGTCCTGTCAGTCATGTAGCATGTGTATGGGAAGGGCAGCAGGACAAAAAATTATCCATACTGACAACTGAATGACAAATGAATATGATGACATCAGCTTGCAGTGAATCCTCCTTTTCCTACATATTTAACAGGAGAGATTAAATTTCACACACAAGACTAACAGTGACCATGGCTTGGGGCACTGTAAAGTGCAAGTGATTCTTGAACATCAGAATAAACACTTAGAGACTGTTCTAAATTTCTAGCAAATATCATTTGAGCCTCAAGACCTCAGGTCAGGTCTGAAAGCAGCTTTAAGATCTGGGCTCCAAAGCGCTGCGCGCTCCCCTAAGCACTATGCTGAAGCAGCAGTAGAAGTCTGAGCGTAAGAGAGCCTAGAGATGGACAACCAGCTCCCGTGGCTCCTTCAAAGGGGACAGCAGTAGATATTGCAGGGGTTCAGTGGGTATTTATGCACTGCTCTTGGAGAGGGATCTCTGAAAGGGTCCCTCTTACCTCCTGGGGGCTATTCCTGTTCCTACTCTGGAGTGACTGATTTTTTACTAGATCCATGTGTCTTGTGTACTCTCATTCTGTCGGATCCAATGAATCATCTCACATTTCATGGGTAGACAACTGTAGGGATTGGATGTTTCCCCAGCTACGATACAGCTTGATTTTTAGGACCTGCTCACTGAGGTGGAGTATGCATGTGAGTCCATCCAGGCTGGCAGAAAGGAAAATCACTTTTTCCTCCCTACTGTGTTTATGTGGAGAAGAAACACCCAGATCCATCTAGATGGCATTTAAGAGAACACAATGGCCGATGGTGTTTAAAAGAAAATGCTTAGGCTCCTACCCCATCAGGAGAGCATTCACCTGAACAGGAGAGTCATCAGTGTTGGTCTTGAGACCGCATTCCTATCCTCAGTTCATACTCCCATCTAGCTCAAGCCCTGCACACTGGGTTTCTAACTCCTCTAATCCACGTGCTTGGACTCTGCCGTGAGGATCAGGTGCCTAGAAACGAGGTGCATGAAGGTGCAGGTGGATGTTTCATCTCCATCCTTCAGAGAACATGGCTGGCTGAATACTGGAATTCTGTCCTTAAAAAGAAATTGCATTACCAAGTAGCACATGACAATTTGAAGACTTGTTGCTCTCAACACTGTCTGACACCCGCATTGCTGTCTCCCAGGATGGTACAGGAAGATGTCTTACCTATGTGCCTTGTTAGCTCTGCAGCAATGATTGCAAAGGGGAAAATGGATACCTACTCTGCCCTACGGGTGGATTTCTTCTGCAGAGGATAGGCCTCTGTGAGACAGAAAAACTTGAACATTTGATACATTTTTAATATTAGGAAAATTAGTCTGAGAAAGAACTTCTGGGACATACTTTATAAAAGTTATAGCAGATATTTCATAACTAAAGATAGAAGATCTTTTCCATTTCAAACTTGGTTTTGATCTTCCGAAAAGATAAAGAATCTGAAATGCTGGTCAGGAGTGAAGAAACCATACTGTCCATATATTTCCCATTTCTGCACTAGACTGATCTAATGTAGAATATATTTTGAATGTGTGAAGTTGTAGACAGAATTAAAGACATTTGAAGACAGAATTTTTAAAAAGAAAAGTTTTTCCTTTGAGAAACTGTCTGGTTATTCTAACTTTTTAAAGTCTACAGTGTTATATGTATTTTTAAATGGCACTGTGCTAATACAAGACCTACTAATCTGATGCAGAGATGACTTTTACTCATCTGAAAGGAAGGAATTTTAATTCTATAGAGATGTTTTCTGAATGGGATAAGATTTTATGGGCTATGTGAGAAGTCTTAAGCCCTTTCTCCTTAAACTTAGTTTTGATAATTAAAACTGCCTAGTCTTTTCCTCAAAAGCAGAGTTAGTTTTTGATTGTGTAGTGTGAAAATATAAGGGATAAAGGAGAGAAGTGAGAAGAATTACACTTCAGAGAATGAAAATTTTATAAAACTTCCCAGGACCTTTTGTAATATCACTTCAAATAGTTGCTCAGTCACTAAGCTTATCAAGCCAGAGCCATCCTGAAGCACAGGTAGCTTGAATAACTCCCTATTTTGACAAAAGCTGAGCTGCAGAACATCCCTGTATTCCACCATCTGACCCAGAGGTGCTGTCAGGTACTATAAGAGTAAGCGTCCTGCCTCCTCTGCAGTAGGGAAGAGCAAGAAGGAAGGGTAACGTGAAGGGGAGGGGAGTGGAGAAAAGAAGGTGCTGCAGGCAGACATATCTAGGAAGGAAGAAATGAGACGCTCTTCCCTCAGCGACTGCCCCATTCCTCTGTCCCAAACTTGTTTCTTGAGTCAGCCATCTCACAAATTAGAAAAATGACCAGAGAAATACAATTAAATGGATACCAAGTAGAAAGTTGGACTGCAGGTAACATAAAACCAAACATTGGATTTATTTTTTTTCCCGCTTCTATTTATTCTGCAAACGTAGAAATTTTCCAGACTTGTTAGAGATATGATTTCTGCAAACAGGACCACAACATACATTAACATTTGTGTGTGTTATGAATGTATCCAAAAGGCTTTAGGTAAGATGATGACAGCAACAAACAAGCTGACTTACGTGCCATAGGGTTTGAATGTGTTTTGGAAGTTGTAGAGTTCTTCAGCGTACCAGGACTGCAAAAACAAATAAAAAAGCCCTCAGTAAATACAGCCAAAGAATCAACCTTACATGTTATATGTGTTTTGAATTGGGAGAGCTACTGACTGGAAGAACCTACAATGTATTATGATTTGAAAGCAATCATACACACCACATATTTGTCAGCTGAGAAAAGCAAAGTCCATCTTTCACATTTTACAGCCTAATAAGGGATCATGTTATTAAGCAACTTAGAATGAATTTTCCAAATACAACAATGACAGTACAAATCTATAGTAACTATGTTCTGAGGGTAAAATGGAAGCACTGATGGTAGAGTACCAATGGAAAAGAAATATTTATTTTTCAAACATGGGCAAGTGAAATTTAATTACTTAGAATCAATTGCTACATGAAACAGAAATTACCTATTTTGTGGAGAGGAAAAGCACTGCTAAGATCTTCGACTTGTGCATTAACAACTTGCAAGGTATGATCTTATGTTTAGATGTAAACACTGTCACTGGATTCAACAGATCAAACTTCTTCAAATACGGGATTCTGCAAAGTTGAAAGTAAGCTCTCACACCTGATAACCCCCTACAAACTCAAAGTCACTCTGTGCTTTTGCAAAGGCTGAAACAGAAATAGAGCATGATAGTACCATTTCAGTAATTCTACTGAGTTAAAGTTATGTTACATATTTGTAAGAATAATAAAAGGTAGTCAGATTAAACATTATTTACTCATCACCTGCTGAGCACCTGTACTGGCTGAGCAAAACAGTACTAATGGTGATGCAAGTAGCTAGCTAAGAAATTCCTACTAGGTGGAAGTATTCCTTGATAATGAGAAAAAAAGTTGTGGCAAGAAATGAAGTAGTTTGTGTGACCTCCAAGTACTATGAAAATATCCAGAAAGGACAGAAAGGTGAATTAAGGGAAGAAATACTTTTCCTAGTTGTTTTGTGGATCCCATCCAATATTTTCAACATGTTCAATAATAATAAAAAAATGTTGTTAGCAAAAAGTTTGAAAAAATTCCGTCCCTCAAGGAAAGCCCCTTGACTGTAGGAAAAGCATACAGCAATTCTAGATATTTCTTAAGATGCATTCCAGTGAATTAAGACATCCTGACTTTTGAAAACTTTGGTTACTGTTTTAGAGCAGTCAATCCAGTGTCCTTATCTTTTGTATCTTACAGACCTCAGATCATAGATGAAGGTTTTGGATTGGAGCAAATCTGCATTTTCATTGGTGATATGTTGGAAAAGCAGGAGAAAGTGCAGATTAGTGGAACAGTACAAAATCAAAAGTAGAAACAGTAAAGCATGCCTCCTCCTAATATGTAGCTATACTATCTGCACGGAGTCCTGATTTGGTATTTCTCCTCCTTTCCTCACTACTGCGGAACGTTATCAAAAGACCTCTGAAATATGCACAGGTCCAGCAGGGTTGGGATTCCAGTTAGGGCATATAACTATGTGACAACAGAAGTTTCTGGGGTCAATGTCAGAGACATCTGGTGGGTAAAAGCCCTGCCAGATGGTATGCAAAAGGTAATTTTCACACGTGTCTCATACGGTTAGTTTCTATGCCATCGTCTTGGCAGATGTACTGCAGTCATTTGGTGCTGTCTCACAAGGCATTTTTATTTCTGCATGGATACCCTGAATGATCTTATGATACCTTATTGCTGCTGGTGTTACCTCTGTTTTTATTAACGTGACTCTGCTTTCACTGAATAGTACCCTTCTGTGTATACACTGAGCTGTGTCCCTGCTTGCTTTTTTTGAACAGGACAAGGCTGTTTCCTTTAGTGCTTTCCAAAAACTCCTAGGTCTTGTGCAGAATATGCTTTAAGTTCAAACTACTGTTACAGAATGGAATTTCTTAGGCTTTTGGTTTTGTTTTGGTTTTTGTTGTTTGGGTTTTTTTTTTTTTTTCACTTCCTTTTTGTTACTATCATTCTATATTTTGTTACATTTTTATGAGTGTGGAATTCTCAGTGATTTTAAGAGGAGTCTGGCATGAGGAGGGGCAATAGGATAAAAGCCAAGATAGCTTTCTAATACCTTTTATTGTAGGCTGTAGGTGCTATACCTTCATTGCATGTTGTTATGTGAGCTTTTCAAATTACTAGCTATTAGCTGTTACTTCAAATATTTCACAGTGGTTTTTTCCTCTCAGAAATCTAATTTTTCCTGTGTCTGTTGAGCTTCCTATCCTGCTACTGGTACAGTATTGCTGAACAGTATTTATCTTGTTCTTGCAATTAGTGGGTTTAGAAAAAAAAAAAATCTGTTTCCAAAACATCTCCAATAATCATAATTATCAAATAAGATCTGCAGTAGTTGTCTCTCTCTTACCTCATACAAAGGTGTATACACACATGCATATACACACAGTCACACGTACATATGTGTAAAACCAGCCTCTTTAGAAAAGCAGCAGCAGGACCTATGATAAACAGTAAGAGCAGTTCCATCCAGTATATAATGAAAAGGTATGAAAAAAACAAAGCCCCTAGGCCCCTAGTGCCAAACAGATAATGTTTATTTCATAGGGATTCACTGCTACCAGTTTAGTATGATTTAGCAGTTCTGAGCTGCTCATGCTAATTTATTTGTGATAGAAAAGAACAATCCAGTTCGTGTGAAGAATATATTTCATATATGAAAACAAATACACTAATTTTTAAAAGTGAACCTTAAAATTGTTTTACAAGGAAAGATGTTAGATTAAATAGTATCTTTCTATTCCGGCTCACTGATCAGTGTCATAGAGAGGAAGGTTTACTGCTTTAGTTGTGAAAATGCAAACTCTCAACCATTCTCATTTTAGACCTTGAAACTGTGATGACATATCCGAGGTTCCACAATGGAACTGAAATAAAACCCTAGCTGATTAGTTTTATAACATGTTGTGTGATTAGTATGACCTCTTGTGTTAAACACGAGAATATTCATTTGTTTACTCGCATAATGAAACAATCAAGCAGGTAGATGAAATATCTAAAAGCTAGTAACAGCACTGTCCTTGACATTTCTACAAATAAACAGAATAGCAGTAGTAGAAGTATTGAAATTGGGACTTGTAAATTTTATAGAAAAATAATGCAATCATTTCCCCATACAGAACACAGCTATAATATATTTTAGTCTACCAATACTTCAAAAAGATCATTTTTTTTCTTCATGATTCTAATAAAACCTTGCGTGACCAGAGTAGATGAAATTACAGGACAAAGCCTTGCTGACTTCTAAATAAAAGATGAAGATTTACAAATTTCTTAAAAAGCCTTTCATGGTAAACTAGGTCATGAAGACTTTATCCTCCGTTAAGGAGAACACTTGAAGTATCTTTAAGCAAACATTAAGGACATGGCATGAACAGACAATGAAAGATGAAACCCAGACCTATCTAAATCTTTAACTAGTTCACAAAACATGTATTTTGACAGCACGCTTGTGCAGGACTCTTATTTACAGAGTGAAAAAAGCCTGGGTTCCCTAAGATTTTAATTTTCTAAGATCCATGCGATTCATGTGTGTTTGGAAACACATGCAAAATAGGACCAGTGAGATGGAATTAGAGCACTGCGATTTTCCAAACAAGCAGTGGAAGATTTGAAGCAGTGTTAAAAAACCCATTCATACTTAAAAATAAATGTGGGGGGTTTTTTTCTTGGTCTTTGGTGCTCATGAGAACTGAGTGCAACAGAGAGCATCCAAATATGCTTTAGTCTAATTTAAAAACAACAGAGTGATGTATTTGGAAAGTGCTTTACCATTCATGTGAGAATGTGCGTGTACATTTTTAATCAAAACGTGTGAATTAATCACAATGCATTATAATGCTGTATATCACATATACTCCTATTTGGGGGGGCTTTTTCCAAAATAACCTATGCTATGTAAACATACACAGAGATTTTTAATTTTTGGTCACTCTCTAAATAATCGATCTATATTGTACTACCATGATATTTATTACATTAGTGAGGGTTGTTTGATTGTGTGTGTGCAATATGCGCTTACTTTAAAAGGTACACCACGGTTAGGAATTGAGTCATTGAAATTTTATAGCAGAGCATATTTGAAAACTTTAATGACAGTGCCACGCTCATATTTCTAAAATGCAAGGCATTCAAGGGCGTAGAGTTTCAAAGGAAACAATGTTGTGTGAGACACTGAAGTTATAAGGACGTAGGCTTTTATCCTAGAAAGGCTTGGTGAAGTGTTTAACATTTGTGAGAAGTCAGAGATGTCAGGAAACTTTCCATGCTATCTAATTTTGCAACTGATTTTTCAAGCCACAAAGGCAGTGCTGCCTGGAAGGGGGGGGAGGGGGCGGAACGGGGGTAGAAACCCCTCACAATCTCACCTTGGTGACAAGAATGGCACGGCTGTAACAAGGTAAATCACTTACCGTTTTCACGATCCTTCCCTTAAAGAATCTTCCCTTAAACAAATGCAGAAAGGAGGCTTTAACCGGTGCAGACATTACTCTGCCAAAGGGAGCTGTGGGTGTGAATTACTCAGTGAGAGTTTGGGAGAGAAAGGAGAGGGAAGCGGCAATATGGTAGCAGGCGACCAACTTAAGGGCTGCGCTGGCGCTGCACGCCACGAAACGGGAGCCGGAGGGGGACGCAGCTGCCCGGTGACAGCAATCCCGTGTCACGGTGAAGGTCCGGCCGAGCCGTCTCCAGCCCCCCATCCGCGCCCCGCGGCTTCGCGGGTGGCGGCCCCACGCCCCGCCGGCCGGCTCTCCCCGCTCCGGCTGCGGGAAGGAGCAGCCGACACACGTCGTGCGTGGGCGGGTGCCCCCCCCCCCCCCCCCCCCACTCCTTCGTGACAGGCCCGAGATGTGCCTCCCCGCAACCCGCGGCAGCCCGCGGCCTGTCCCGGCTCCCTGCGGCGGCTCACGGCGGGCACGGCCCGCGGCGGGGGCCCGCCGGGGCGGCGGAGCGGAGCCCGAGGGACGCTGTGTTTTGCAGGGCGGCGGGCGGGAGGCGCCGCTGGACAGCTCCGGAGCGCGGCGCGGCGCCCATGTTCCGGAGACGGCGCAGATGTGAGCGGCGGCGGGGAGCGGGGGGCGCGGCCGCGGGGGACCCTTCCTGGCGGGGGGGGGGGGGGCGTGGAGGGAGGTGGGGGGCGAAGGGAACGCGCTCCCCGCCCCCGGGAACCCCCGGGCTTCCGCGGCGCGGGGCGGGGCGGAGCGGGGGGCGAGGGCAGCCCTTACCTGCGGGCGCGGCGCGGGCGGGAGGCGGGATCCCCGGGCGGGGCGGGGCGGGGCGGCGGGGGGACCCTGCGCGGCCCCCGCCGCCTCACGCCGCGGCCGGTCCACTCCCCCCCCCCCCCCTTCAGGTGACGTGATGCCCATTGTTTTGGTCCGCCCGACCAATCGGACGCGGCGGCTGGATTCTACGGGAACCGGGATGGGCCCTTCGTGGCGGCAGCAGGACTCTCCCCTGCCGACCATAACGCATTGCGCAGGGTGCACCACCGCCCGGTCCTCCTGCGGCTTTAACGGCGCCGGCATGGACGCGCCGCGGCAGTTCCCGGCGGGCTTCGGCCCCGAGCAGCAGCAGCAGCAGCAGCAGCAGCAGCAGCAGCAGCAGCAGCAGCAGCAGCAGCAGCAGCAGCAGCAGCGCCCGCCGCCGTACTGTCAGCAGCAGCACGGCCAGGACAAGCAGAGCCTCCTCCAGCAGCAGCAGCAGCAGCAGCAGCAGCAGCAGAGCCCATGCCTCCAGTGCAACAACTGCGCCTACTACGGGGCTGCTGCGGCAGCCGCGGGGGATAACCTGCCCCTGCTGCTCCGCGCCTCCTCGCCCCTCTCGGGCGCCTTCCGGACTCACTCCTCGCCGCTCTCCTCCGCCGCCTCCTCCCGACAGGGCAGCCAGCTGAACGTCAGCGAGCTCACCCCCTCCAGCCATGCCGGCGCGTCCAGGCAGCCTCACCAGTACCCCCAGTACCACCAGTGCCACAGCCTGCAGCAGCAGCAGGCAGCCAGCCCCAGCAGCAGTGTCAGCAGCGGCAGCACCCACCACCATCACCACCACCACCACCACCACCACCTCCAGCAGCAGCAGCAGCAGCAGCAGCAGCAGCAGCGCCGGGAGAGCAACCCCTTCACCGAAATAGCCATGAGCAGCTGCAGGTACAACGGCGGCGTCATGCGGCCGCTCAGCAACCTGAGCTCGTCCCGCAGGAACCTACATGAGCTGGACTCCGAGTCGCAGCCGCTCCAGCAGCCGCTCGCCAGCCCCGCCGCCGCCGGCACCCCCACCGCCCCGGAGATCGTGGTCTCCAAACCCGAGCACAACAACTCCAACAACCTGGCGCTCTACGGACCCGCCGGCCCCGGCCCCGGCCCGGGCGGCGCCAACAACGGCGGGGGCAAGCCTAGCAAGAAGAAGAACCAGAACATCGGCTACAAGCTGGGGCACCGCCGGGCGCTCTTCGAGAAACGCAAGCGCCTCAGCGACTACGCGCTCATCTTCGGCATGTTCGGCATCGTCGTCATGGTCATCGAGACCGAGCTCTCCTGGGGCGCTTACACCAAGGTACCCGCCGCCTCACGCCCTCGCCCCGCGGAGGGGCGGACCCGGCCCCTCGGGAAGCCCAGCGCGGCGGGGCTGCTCGTCCCCCGTCCCGGCCGCCTCCCGAGGGGCGCACCCCCCCCACCCCCCCCACCCCTTCGGGACAAGCGGCGGGGCGCTCCCGGCTGCCGCTCCGCCCGCGGCAGCGTGGGGCGAGGCGGCCCGCCCGGGGGCGGCGGTGGGGCGGGAGCGGCCCCTCGCGTGGGTTTCTGAGGGACGGCCGTGTCTTTCTCTTGCAGGAGTCGCTGTATTCCCTCGCTCTGAAATGCCTTATTAGCCTCTCCACGATTATCCTGCTCGGGCTCATCGTCGTGTACCACGCCAGGGAAATCCAGGTAACGCTTCCTTCTGTGGGTCAGCGAGCGTTGCTGGCGTGGCTGGGGGTGCGAGGCGGTTTGCCCGGGGGCGCAGCGGCGGTAAGTACTTGGCGCTTCCCGCCGGTTCGGAAAGCAAAAGTGGTCTCTGCGCGCCTGCCGAAGTTGGGGAAAGGACCTCAGCCCTGGAGAGCAGCACGGCGGGCGCGCCGGGGCCGGGAAGCTCTGCCTGCTGGGTTATGCTGTGGGATCGCGTAGCCCTGAAGTTGGAACGCACTTCCTCGGTGACATGCCAGCCGTCTTCTGTAGCAGATGTACAGCAGCGGTCTTTTATTTCCCCATGACTGAATTTCATGCTGTGCGTTTTCTCTCGACGGCAGGGTTAGTTGTCTTCGCTGCGCAAGGTATGTAATCTTCACTGCGCTCTCTCACACACGGGCGTCCTCTCGGAGGATCTTTAAGAGGAGGGGGGACACACTTAACGTTCGGCTTGTTTTACTTAATGCCACACAGCCCCTAGGAATGTGGCAGAGAAGAACTGTCAAGAAAGGCAGGGCTAAAGGTAGGAGGAACATAATGATCAAAGCTGTGGAATAAGTCTCACAAATACTGTCACAGGTTCTGTCCGAGTGAATTAGTTCTAATTTCAGTTGCATTTTTTTTCAACCAAGAAATTAAAATTTGGCATTTCAGCTTAGTTGACACATACAACAGATAGATTTTAAAATTTTGAAGGGAAAAATACCTTACTCATAGACTCATTGATGCTTTTGCTTCTTCAGATTAGTTAGAGGTACTTTGAGCTACAAGCTGAAATGACAGTTTTCAAGGGCAAAGAAGACTTCTCCACTTGTACCAATCAGTAAAAATAATGATAATTAAAAAAAAAATCACATAGTACCCTACTTTTGTGCAAATGAATGCTGTAGTTTCAATGCGAAACGGTACCACAGTCTCCCACTTAAGTTAACGTTAGAGAAGTGTTACGTTACCAAAGACTCTTTGCCAAATTAGATCCTCCTATTCAGTGCTTGCACATGCAAAACTTCTATTTCTGTCTTAAAAACTATTTTCTCTGCATTAATATCAAAGATACTAAAAGCTGTTTAATGATACTGTACTCAGTAAGCAAGTGTTCTGATGAAAGAGCATCTCTATAAACTATTGGAGTGCTGATGAAGAGGTTTCTTCATCTGTATAAAAATAATTGAGTGGCACTGCTGCAATGTGGGAGACTTCTTCTCTGGTGTATCTTCCCATAAGTAGTGCTTGAGGCATGAAGAGCAAAGCTGAAAAAAAAAAATAATCTGTAAACATTTGAATTACTTTATGCAATTTCCAGAAACTTTAAAAATCTTGCAGAAAATTTTATGCAAGATAACCTAATAGTTGTAGGTCCCTGTATGCATCAGTTTATACTAGGTAGTTAATCCAGATTGGGTTGGGGTTTTTTTTCAAGTAAATAGTTTTTCAGGTAAATTTTTATTCCATTAGGAATGTGATATGGAAAAAAAAAAAAAAAAAAACCTAACGAAAAACCCAAACCCCACAAATATCTTAAAAAGCTAAAGTTGTAATTCTGACTTGTTTGTGTGGGGGGGGTTGTTGTTGTTTTTTTTTTTTAATTGATCATTTTAAAGAACTTCCTCATGTGCAACTACATGGAAGGAGTTACGCAATCATGTGACTTAATCGAGGTTAATGTAGTTTTCAGTGCTGCCTGACAGTACAAAACAGAAGTATACCTGCTGTATAACAGCATACCCTGTGTTTTAGTCTGAGAGACACCAAAAACTGCAGCAGTCATGGCAGGACCTAGAGTGAGCCACAGCTTCAAGGGGCTCTATCATTCATGTTGAAAATGAAAAGGAAGTTTTCTTTTTCAATGAAAGGGCATAGTACCACCATTAGCTATTACATGTCTGATGGCTTTTTAATTTAGGCATAGTCTGGTTTTGTACACACACCAGACGTTTAAGAAATAAGATGAAGAACCTGTAGAGCAAAAATTACATGCATCAATGGTCATAAATTTATGTTACACTTGACGTCTGAAAACAAGAAGTATCTTTAAAGTACTTTGGCTTAGGAATGGATGGAATCTTCTCCGGGCGAAAGAAGATACTGTGTAACCTTGATAATGTGGTGATTTTTAAATAATCCTTACAGCTAACTGTTTTCTGAAGGCACACATGCCTTTAACTCAAGGAAATATCCTGCTATGTGTGACAGAATGAATCACGTCTGTATAACTATGCCCACAGATGGTTGGTTGTGTCCTGGAGGACTGTTTGCACCAGCTATTTGTCAGTCATGTTCAAGTTTGAACATTCCTTTCTAATTCCTGTCTGAGACTTTACCAGTGGGTATAGTGTAAATAAGCAAGAATTCACTGAGAGAAGGAAGAAATGTTACATGGAACAGAAGGTCATTGCATTCTGCCTGCAGTGTGATATCCCCCATACTCTGGTGGAAGCAAACCAACCTAAACATACGTAGGTTTTTCTACAAAGCTTGAGACAGCATGTTGGGAAATAAAAAGCTGACAGGTTAGTAATTATTACTGATTGCAGATTTCATATTTAGAAACTCCTGGTGACCTGAAATCCTGGAAAACAGAAACCAGCTTTTTCGTTCTTTTCAGTAGTCTGTGACCTTGATTTATTGGTAGGAAGTCCGAACAGCCATGCTGCAAGCAAGTCTGTGGAGCAGTGCCTAGCAGCATAGCAGGTAACAAGTCTTTCCATTAAAATGACCTTTCCGACGTGTTTTGCTTTGGAAAGAGCTGGTCAGTTAAACCAGACTCCTGAGTTTGGCAGTCCCAGCCCTGCTGAACGATTGAAGGGACCAGGGAGGGAAGTTTATAAACACTTGTAGGGGTTCTTCCCAAGAGCCGAGAGCAACATACCGGCGTGAGGCGAGCGGGTTTTCTTTTTGGCCTTTATCCCCGGTTAGGCCGTGGTTGATGCGGGGTGCAGGAGCTGGGGCACCTCAGTCTCTCGGAGAGGGGAGCTGGGGAGGCGGGGGGCGGCGTTTTGCGCCGCCGCCCGTTCAGCACCGCAGACAGCTCCGCACGGTGCGCGCCGTCCGGGGCGGCCCGGCCTGGGGGCGGCCGCCGCGCTCCCGCCCCGGCCCCCGCCCCGCCCTGCCCCGCCCCGGCCCCCGCCCCGCCCTGCCCGGCCCCCGCCCCGCCCTGCCCCGCCCTGCCCCGCCCCGCCCTCACCCGCCCCGGCCCCCGCCCCGCCCTGCCCCGCCCTGCCCCGCCCCGCCCTCACCCGCCCCGGCCCCCGCCCCGCCCTGACCCGCCCCGACCCCGCTCCCGCCCTCACCCGGCCCCCGCCCTGCCCCGCCCCGACCCCGCTCCCGCCCTGCCCCGCCCCGACCCCGCTCCCGCCCTGACCCGCCCCGGCCCCGGCCCCCGCCCCGCCCCGCCGCCCGCCCCCGCCCGCCCCGCCGCCAGGTAGGCTCTCCCGGCTCTCCCGCCTCCCCGCCGCACACGCACCCCCCTGGGCGCGTAGCCTCGCGTTCGAAACCCGTTAGCAGCACGGCTTGGTTTCAGAGTTCCCAGGAACTTGCCCAGTGCCCCGCACCCGACAGCCCAGTCTCCGGAAGGGTGTAGCTGCAGTGTTTAGGCAAGAGTAACTGTAAGGATGCTGTGTAGTCTGTGCTGTGAGATACTAGAAATGTTAAAATATTTTTATCAAACAGGTTTTCAGGGATCACACTGATTAGTTATTCTGTAGAACTCTAAGAATGAAGTGTGAGCTGTTATTAAATTTAATAAATGTGAGTTAGGCTTCAGACTTTACTATAAAGTCAGATGAAACCAGATGGGTTTAAATGATAATTCGTAGTTTACTTTATCATTTCCAGAAAAAGAGAATAAAAATTGCAAGAAAGTTTCCTTCACATCCCTCCCCCTTCTAGAAAAACACCCTAACAGTAGCAGTATTGGAGTTGAGGATAGTGACAATCCCATATATGTGTGTTCTCTTGTTGGTCCATTGTTGGTCCATTCATGCCTATAATGCTGTTAAAAACATTACACTTGGGAGATAATTAAATACACATTGCTGTCTCCTCAAACTTGTGTGGTTGTTAGTTCGGTTCTTCAGAGCAAGAGCCCTGTTTGGAATATCAATGGGAAAAATATAATTCATCGTTATCCCAACCTAGAACAGGTATTTCTCTGACTGTTACTCCAGCTGAGAGTTTGAAGAACTGGAGTAGGGAAGAGCTAGGAAGATAGTGTGTTCCAATTATCATAATAACTTTTGATGTATAAATTATCCACTTCATGCATAAACAGTTGGTTACTTAATACTATTTTACATAATTAAAGCAGCAGCATGGAACATGGTTAAAACTGTAATTCCTAGACAACTTATTGTTCCATTCCACATTTCTCTGCAATTTAAGAAATTTCAGTGTAGCAGTTCACATGATAAAGCTGCAGTTTTTCTACTTTTATTGAAAAATAGACCTCTCTGTCTCTCTGTAATACTGCTGGAGATAGAAATTCTTTTTAAGTATGCACTCCTGAAGTTCTGCTGGCACTTTCTTGTCTTACTTGGAGCAAAGAATTAAAATCAAAATTCTCTGAGGTTGTCAGTAGGAGGTCTTTAATGTGTTTTGTTGGGAATTCCACCATAGCCAGGTATTTCTTGAGAGATGGTAGTCACTGGAGGAATATATCCACTGGAACACTTTTCATTTGATTCTGGACTGCTTAGTGTATCCCTTCTGTAAATGAATATTGCCCTTCTATTGCCTGTCCTGAATAATAGTAACCTGAGTAATGCTGACCTGTGCTCTCTTGGACAGAATCTGAACCTCTTTTTCTTCTCCCTGATACAAATGCTTTCACTCATGCAGAAACATTAAAGTTGATGGCATTTGGTAGAAATGAATATAAATCTTAATTTTTATTTTTATTTCTTTTGTATGTCAGTAGAGATTTCTAACAACCTCTAAAATGTATTGCTACTTCATACTTAGGTAGAACGTCTGTGGAAAGTCTT